CGGACCCTATGTCCCAGCCCACCAAGACAAATCCCCCACTCCTCACAGCCCTCCCCAGGCCAGTGGTTACATCTGCACTGCCTTTTGGGGGCCTTATGACAAAGGTTAACTTAAGGAACCAGATGCCTGGGCCAAGACAGGCTCCGGGAGGAGACAGGCAGAAGGAAGCAGTGCTAGTAAGGTGGTGTGTGGCTGCCATGTTTGGCTTTGAGCTTGGCCAGCTGAAGGGCATGGTGCCCATAAGGGCAGCAGAAACTGACCTGTCCCTCTCAGTCCTTTGCCCTGCCCTGTCTTCCGCCACACGTATATCCTGGGTCCCTGCCCTCCTCGCGCCACACTCAGCCACTCCCAACATCATCATCCCCTTATTTCGCATGTGGGGAAATAAGCAGCCACCTGGGACTTTCCCTGCCTTCCTGCTTTATTCACTCCTCTTCTGACTCCAGGCAGCTCTGCAGAGACAGCCCTGTCCTACCTGTCCTCCGCCTGGACTGCTCTCCCTCCCATGACCCACTTCCCTACTCCAGGCACTTGCTCCAGTCTGTGAGCTCTCTCTGTTGAACTTGGTGTTGGGAGGGGTTCCAGCCACTTGCCTCATGCCATCTGGGCTCACTGCCACACTGGGGGCCCCATGCCACCTCAGTGTGTAGCTGCAGGGACCTCCACACCCAGTTATCCTCAGAGTGCCCCCCGAAGGATGTGGGGGCAGGTCCCCAATGCCAGGCACACTTGGCATACTCCCTCTGCCTCCTGAAACACGGGGCCCAAGTCAGATTTTTGTGCACATGGGATCACAGTGCTGAGCAAGACCACATAGACAAGGCCCTGAGCCACAACAGCTCTAGCCTGTCCTCTGTGGACATTGGGATTCTCACAGGCTCTGTGTCCATTATGCCAGGAGGGAAGGATTATTTTACTAACAAGGAGATCAAAGTGACAGGCATTGCTCTGGAGGTCCCCACCCTGTGTTTTTTCCCTCCTCCCGCTGCCGTCGGTCAGTGGGGCCCAAGTGCCAGCACAGATCCTGTGGGGAGCCCAGCCCTCGTCCCAGCCGGGTTGGGGGCCCGTTCCCTGAGAAGGCAGAGGGTGCTATGGCTGGAGCCACGATGGTAACGGGCGCGTGGCCGGGTCCCGCCCCAGGGCCCTGACGCGCGGAAGGTCTCTCCCTCACAGCCAGCGCAAGCAGGCCAGGGAGCTGCTGGCCGCCCTGCAGAAGGTTGTGGTGCCCATCTACTGCACCAGCTTCTTGGCCGTGGAGGAGGACAAGCAGCAAAAGATTGCCCGGGTACGTGGCACAGCCTGGAGGGTAGAGTAAGGTGGGTAGGGGATGGGGCAAACTGTTTCTCCCTGACATGATTGCTCATCCTCCCACGTCCAGCTCCTGCAGCTATGGGAGAAGAACGGCTACTTTGACGACTCCATCATCCAGCAGTTGCAGAGCCCGGCCCTGGGGCTCGGCCAGTACCAGGTGAGTGCCACCACCACCCGAACTACACGCGGGGCCAGGGTGACACCACCCAGCAGCTTCCAGAAGTCAGGGGGCCCACCTCCCCCACCTGGGCTGGGAACAGCCGATGGAATGGTGGCCTCGGAGCCCAGATGGCATTTTCTAAACTGGGCGCCTGGGTGTGCCTCTAGTGAGTGTTGAAGGCTGGGGTCTGAGCAGCACCCTTGAGGGGCCCTGTCCCATGCACAGGAAGGGGGGAACCCTCCCAGGGAGGCTTCCTGGTGCGCTTGTGACCGAGTTTCCCAATTTAGGCCCTGTTCTCAGGGTGTCATTGGCTTGTTTGCACTAGTCCTCTAGGCCCGCATTCACACGATGGGAAGGTGAGGAGACCCCAGGTAGTCTAGGCTGCTGTGGCCATCACCTGGTGCAGTCAGTGCTCCCCGTACACGTGTCTGCCTTTGCCCAGGGGAAGGGCACAGGGCAGGGAGGGTCTTCTTGGTCCCCTCTACCATGGTACCAGCATCACTGCCCTATGCGCAGCTTCTGGAATAAAAAGCACAGCTCACACCTTCTCTCAGGCTGGAAGGCCTGGCTGAATGTCAGGAGCTCTGTGCCGGCTGCTTCCCTCGGTGATGGTCCTAAATGCCATCTTCTCCACAGGGGACAGGCGCTCATGCTCAGAAACAAATGAGGAAAGTGCATTTCCTACTTCCTCTACATTTTACCCACTTTTTCTTACGTTAAATAAAAATGGACTTGTATTGCTATACAACAGTTAAGGCTAACTGTTTTTTTTCCTCCTGAGTTCAGCTTAGTAAACGTGATAGCTCGTGTTTACTAAGCCTCTACCATACTAGTCCCTTCCCATGTGTTATTTGCTGACTTCTCCCTGAAATCTTCAGAAGTTGGTCCCAACGTTGTCCCATTTTGCAGATGGGAAAAATTGAGGCTCAGGGAGGTGGTGACTTATTCAAAGCCAGGCAGCAAGTAAGCACAGCCCATGAGCATGTCTCAGAATATTTGCCAGTGATGTGTGTTTAAAGTCTGTGTGGCCACCTAGGGCACAGCTATCATTGCCTGATTCCATCAGGGAATTTAAACTGCACTGCACATCACCAAGATTTTGGCTAGATAGGTGGTCTGGTTGTCAAGACCAAGTTGATCGGTTTCCATGACGTCACCTGCCAGCTGGGCCTCACTGCCCCTGGCAGCACCCCGACTTCCCAGTGCTTTCCTAGCATTTGACCCCATGCTGCTCTGGAAGGGGTGGGCCCTGAGGCTCGAGCACTGAGTGCCCCCGCCCTTCTCTTTCTGCCAGGCAACGCTTATCAATGAGTACTCCTCGGTGGTCCAGCCCGTGCAGCTGGCCTTCCAGCAGCAGATCCAGACCCTCAAGACGCAGCATGAGGAGTTTGTCAACAGCCTGGCCCAACAGCAGCAGCAGCAGCAGCAGCAACAGCAACAGCAGCAGATCCAGATGCCACAAATAGAAGCTGAAGTCAAGGCCACACCACCACCACCTGCCCCACCGCCAGCCCCTACGCCCGCCCCCGCCATCCCGCCAACCACCCAGCCCGGTATGTGGCCCCCCTGCACCCACTCTTGGGGGCTGGTCCCAGCAAGCAGCTTTCCCCCAGAGAAGGGCTCTAGTTTCGGAGTCTCGGGCCAGATTCTAATCAGTTTAAAGCAGCAGGCTGGGGAATTTCACATTTAAATGTAATAAAACTTTTACAACTCAGTTCTCCTTTATAAACTGTCCCAGAGAACAGGCAAAGAGGAAAGCTGCCCAAATCATTTTCCAAGACCAAGATAACTTTCTTACCAGTTGGGCAAGGACAGAACAAGAATTACAAATATAATCCCTTGTCGCTTCTGAATAAAGATGTAGAAATACTGAACAAAATCTTAGCAAATTAAAACCAGCCAAGTATCTTTAAAATATATTATGACCAAAAAGGACATGTTCCAGGAATGTATAAGGATGGTTTAACACTGAAGAAGCCTAATAACGTAACATCAAATGGGAGGAAGTGATATTTGAATTAGATACAGAATAGGTAATAAAATTCAGCAATGATAAAAATTCTTTAGCAAACTAAGGTCAACCTGTAGAAGTACGGTACTTCCTGTAAAGCTTTCAGAACAGAAGTGTGTGTCCTGCTGCCTTCCCAGCAGTTTTCCTTGGGTCATGAAGCGAGGATTTATCAGGAAATGAAGCCCATTCTGGGCTGCCCGGGTGTCAGCTGATGACCGTTTTGGGTGGTACCTCCTGCTGCTGTGGCCTCCACTAACTGCCTTCTTGCCTGGCTCTAGATGACAGCAAGCCTCCCATCCAAATGCCCGGCTCCTCTGAATATGACGCCTCAGGAGGGGTCCAGGACCCTGCAGCCACCGGCCCCCGGGGCCCTGGGCCCCACGACCAGATCCCACCTAACAAACCGCCGTGGTTTGACCAGCCTCACCCCGTTGCTCCTTGGGGTCAACAGCAGGTATTTCTTACCGGGGCAGGTGAGCGTGCTTGGGCCTAACGAGACTGACAACAAGGGTGGCAGGCAGCCTCTGTAGGCGAGGGGCTTTTAGCCGCTTGCTGGGAGACTGGAAGCTCTGCAGCACGGTCTGGGGGAGAGGGTACGATAGCCCCATCTTCCCACGGTACTGGGATTAGGTGAAGCAAGAAAGGCAGGCCTTGCCTCCTCTGGTGCTTTGATCATTTGGGATTGTCAGTAACAGGTCCCCGTTTTCCAGTGAGTGCAGGGAAGTTCCACACAGCACAGGAGGGTGCACCCTTTCCTTCCCTTGTTTTGACTCGTTTGACTAGCAAAGTGTCAATACCTTGTCACCCTGGAGAGAACATGGTGCTTTTAAAAGAGGTGGAAGGTCACAAGTGTCAGGCAGCATATTCTGGGGCTGAGATTCTGGTCACTTCCTCCCGTTTCCTAGGCAAGGGCAAGGGTCATCTCATCCAGCATAGCAGAACTAGGAGGCTCACGACAACAGGGTCCCCTCACCGAGGGTCCCCTCACCGAGGGTCTGCCCTCGGTCGGCAGTCCATGGTCAGACGCCATGGCCTGGCCTGCCCATGAGGCATCTCACACGTTTTGAAATGATGGCCATATTTAAAGTTTGGCTTTCGGGCTTCCTGAGGATGTGGTGGCCGGGGCCAGTCTCTGGTGGTAATGGTCAGCTTAATGGTCAGTGGAGCTGACCAACCATGACCCTAGAGATGGGCTCTCTGATTGGCCTCATTGGACCCATCCTCTTGGGTTGCAGTCCAACTTTAAGTCTTCAAAGCAGCAGCTGGGTGAGATTAGAGCTCATGTCTTCAGCCTTCAGAAACAGGTTTCCTGGGTCGGACCTAGGAGCAGACCCTGAAATAGGACTGAGGGCAAGTAGTTCAGTGGGAGATGTCCCAGGAGAACAGCACAGGGTCGAGGGAAGTTATGAAAGGGCTGATTCGGGGTGGGTGGCCTCTGGGGCTCAGCCACTGCGCACACTCTGGATGCAGCGGGGGAGGCACCTCTCTGTTGTCCACGAGGGGGCTCGGCTAGGGGGTGTTCCGATTCCCTGTATGTGGGGCCTCTAGAAAGTCCTGTATGAGGACCCAGAGAAGGCCTCAGCCACGATGGGGTGCAGAAACTTGGGAGTCAGGTTATCAGCATGGACACGAGGGGCCAGTGGTAGGGCAGATACCACTGCGCCCACTGTAAACAGAGTAAAGCACCCATTCTGCACGGCAGAGTAAACAAAGCACCATGTGCCCAGGGCCACGCCCAGCAGACCATCAGCGTGCAGCTCCTGGCAGTGCGGAGGCTGGATGGGCCTGGAGAGGGCTAACATCTGCTCTTTGTCTCACAGCCTCCCGAGCAGCCCCCCTACCCACACCACCAGGGTGGGCCACCCCACTGCCCACCTTGGAACAACAGCCATGAGGGCATGTGGGGTGAGCAGCGTGGGGACCCCGGCTGGAACGGCCAGCGTGACGCACCCTGGAACAGCCAGCCCGACCCCAACTGGAACAGTCAGTTCGAGGGCCCCTGGAACAGCCAGCACGAGCAGCCGCCCTGGGGTGGTGGCCAGCGAGAGCCGCCCTTCCGCATGCAGCGGCCACCACACTTCCGCGGGCCCTTCCCACCCCACCAGCAGCACCCACAGTTCAACCAGCCACCACACCCCCACAACTTCAACCGCTTCCCGCCCCGCTTCATGCAGGATGACTTTCCCCCGAGGCACCCCTTCGAGCGGCCCCCCTATCCTCACCGCTTTGACTACCCTCAGGGGGACTTCCCTGCTGGTGAGTGTTTTGCATGTTTGAGGCCCAGTACACACAGCCCTCTCCTGCCCCTGGTTCCTGGAGAAGTCCTGGTTGCCTGCCTGGAGGAGGCACCTGACAGATTGGTCTCCTGAGCAGGCTGATGGCATTGCTCTTGGTCTTTGGTGTGTCCCTGATGTGCCCCGAGGCTAGGTCATAGGCAGAGGGTCATGGGATGACAGAGGAGAATAGACCACACACCAAGCAGTAGAGGGGTGACACTTTTGGTCCCTCCTCCTAGGAATAGGGCACTGTCTCTGTCCTGCAGAGAAGGGCAGATAGATTCCAAAAGGAGAAGTAACCCCCAAGTGCCCATAGCAACAGGCACCGAGTCCAGGGCCCACACTGCTGTCATAGGATTGGTTTCCCGGTCCTTGTCTCAACAGTTTTCATCAGCTTTCCTACTTGATTATTGTTGTTTTTCAGAGTCTTTATTTTTGTTAACTTTCTCTTTTTAAAATAAAATTTTAAATATGTTTTTATTGATTTCAGAGAGAGGAAGGGAGAGAGAGAGAGAAACATCAATGATGAGAGAAAATCAGCGATTGGCTGTGTCTTGCACATCCCCAACTAGGGATGGAGCCCACAACCCAGGCATGTGCTCTGACTGGGAATCCAACTGTGACCTCCTGGTTCATGAAATCGATGTTCAGCCACTGAGCCACACCAGCTGGGCTTAAAAGAATTTTATTCTTCCTGTATTACTGCCTCTACCTTAAAACCCTCCATTGGTTGTAAATTCAGCTCGGAGATCACTTAGCATGTGTATTGTTTGTGTTAACATCCTGGGGTGGCATGACAGTCCCACGGATTGGGTGGCTCCAACAACAGTTACTGTTTCCCAGTCTAGAAACAATGTTAGTTTCCTCTACTGTCTCTCTCCTCGACTTGTAGATGGCTACCTTCTCCCTGTGTCCTAATCTTTTAAGTCATATTGAATCAGGGCCCACCCATATGACTTCATTTTAAGTTAATTATCTCTTCAGAGGGAGAGTTAGGATGGTGGTGGTGAATGCAGGATCAGGGGTGGGGAGGAGATACAATTTAGCCCATAACACTACTGTTAGAAGGTGCTGTGATTTCCCTATGGTTCCTTCTTTAACCTACGAGGTCCATCAGGTGCTGCTGTGGGAGCCAGCCCCCTTCGAGCCTCTGCTCCTCCCCTCTTGCTGCATTGCCTGAGCAGTGAGTGAAGCAGTGTGAGGGGAGGTGATGGAAGGGCTGCTCAGAAAGTGGGTGTTGGCATCCTTGCTCCTCTCTGAGCTCCTTGGGCCGCCTGGCTCATAAATTCCCTGTGAGCCTGAGAGAAGTTTCTGTTTTGCAGAGATGGGACCCCCTCACCATCACCCTGGCCATCGCATGCCACATCCTGGGATCAATGAACACCCGCCCTGGGGGGGACCCCAGCACCCCGACTTTGGCCCTCCTCCCCATGGCTTCAACGGGCAACCGCCCCACATGCGGCGACAGGGCCCTCCCCACATCAACCACGATGACCCCAGTCTGGTCCCCAACGTTCCCTACTTCGATCTCCCCGCCGGGCTAATGGCCCCCCTTGTGAAGGTAAGGTCTGTGGTGAGTGCCACGCTGAGCGGGACATGCTCGGGCCAGTGCCTCTGCCTCCATGTGAAAGGTTCATAGATGAAACTAATTCCCTGTAGGCTACAAACTGCTTCCCCAGGCCACTTCCCCCATTTCCCACTCCCCAGTGAACTCGACCAAGCCGGTCTGTGAGAATGCACCTCAGTCCGTGAGGCCCGTGTCCCCTGATCCCTCTGCATCTTTCTGGTGCTATGAGTTTGGTGCCACTTGGGGCAGGCTGGGTTGGGCATGAGGCACGGGTCCTCTTAGTAATGGTTCTTGGAAGCCACCTTGTCCAGGGGTTGACGGCAGAGGGGTTTTTCAGGAAAGGGGCAACCGCTGAGGTGTGCCTTCATGGAACCTGGGAATGCATGTGAGGGGTGAGGTGAGCAAGGGGCTGGGACAGGCAGAGGGACCAGCGGATGAGCCAGTTCCTGGGCTGGGCTGGGCTAAGGCTCCTGATTGTGGGAGGGCCCTCAAGGGAGATACCAGAGCTCTGGGTAGGAAGTCAGGGCACAGGGTGGCACCTGCAGGCAGAGCATTTGGGATTCACAGCGTGTCTGTGAATGAACCAGGGCTCTTTCTCCTTTCCTGAAGGCCATGTCTTCTGTGGTCATTTTTTTGGAGAAAGAATTCTCTGGCTTTTATCAGCCTCAAAGAGGGTGGGCCTTCCAGCGAGGGCTGGGTGAGCACCCTGATGCCCAGGGCAACCCTAACCCAAACCAGGCCCTGTCTCCTGGGTGGGCCTGATCGGGGCTCCAGCAAGATGTGGTGACAACTGTGTTCTCCACTGCAGCTAGAAGATCACGAGTACAAGCCTTTGGACCCTAAAGACATCCGCCTTCCCCCTCCCATGCCACCCAGTGAGAGGCTGCTGGCGGCCGTGGAGGCCTTTTACAGCCCTCCTTCCCATGACAGGCCAAGGAACAGGTACGGGGCCTGGGGAGACCCAGCAGTGGGGCCAGTGGTGGGAGGGGGGTCTATCCCATCTCCCAACCTGTCTTCCCCCAAGTTTGCTTCACAAGAAAGACTCTTACCATCCATACCTTCTACCCAGCATGGTGTGAGGCCCAGGTGAGGAGTGTGGTGTCTCTAAGAGAAATGGCATTATAGGGTCCGTTTCTCTCCTGACTATGGGTGGTGTGTGTCACACAGTGGCCCTTGATGAAAGGCTTCTCTGTTTGGGACTCGTTATCTTGCTGCACATTCAGGCTTTGTCATGGGTCCCTTTCAGGATACCCTCCCCCAAAGGCCTTATCACCAGCCCAGCTGACATTGCTTCCTTTCCTGTGCCAGGCACAGGTTCCCATCTGAGTCACAGCCCCTGGTTCCCAGTTATTACCACAGGCCCTAAGACCCTCAGCTCTGTCTTTCCACTGCAGTTCAGAGGGGCCGAGAGCCGGTGGTGTCCGGTATAAGCCCAGTCTCTCCACCTCCCAGAGGTGTCCCGACCTCAGCCTGCTTCCTCATCTGAGAAAGGGCGTCCCGTGGAAATGACAGCCCCAGTGCTGTCTGTGGTGGCACGCACGCCGCATCCCGAGTGGTGGGGGGGGCTTGTGGGTAGGAGGTAGCCTCCTCCCTCCTGAGGAGATTTCCCAGTGCCCTTCGGGAAGGAGGCTGGTGTGGTCACGTGTGCTCACATTGCCCGTCTTACAGCGAAGGCTGGGAGCAGAATGGCCTCTACGAGTTCTTCCGAGCAAAAATGCGGGCCCGACGGCGGAAAGGCCAGGAAAAGAGGAACAGGTAAGGGCGTCCCTGCTGACTTGTATGGAGTCATCATGCCTCCCTGGCTAGTCTTGTCATGAATTGGCTTAGAGTGAACCAGACACACTGTTGTGTCACACCCTGACATGTTGGATCATGCCCCCAACACCTAATGTCATAAAACATACGATATCACCCCCAATCATAGACAAAGTCACGTCTAGCCTCTGTCTGGCTCTTGGGTCTAGCCCCTATGTTAAAGGTGCTAGGAGCCCTTCCCACAAGCCTGAGTTAAAACACCAGCACAAGAGAAGTTGGCTTTGGTCTGTATTCACCGAGCTGTTTAGGAAAGTGACACCGTGGTGTGAATGGCATGTCCGTACCCCTGAGGTCATTTGAAATGGGGTGGGGGTGGCAGGCTCAGCCTGTGTGGGAGCTGGGAGGTGCCAGCTCCAGCTCACCAGCCTCTCCCTGCAGCGGACCCTCACGGTCTCGGAGCAGATCCAAAAGCCGAGGGCGCTCCTCCTCTCGCTCCAACTCGAGGTCTTCCAAGTCGTCTGGCTCATACTCCAGGTCACGGTCACGCTCCTGCTCCCGTTCCCGCTCCTACTCCCGTTCCCACTCCAGGTAGGCAGGTACTACCTCTCGGGGACTGAGCCTGAGGCTTCAAGGCTGCCCAACTGAACCGCTGGGCTCTCCCCCACAACTTTGCCCCAACAGGAGCCGTAGCCGATCCCGCTCCTCAAGAAGCCGCTCGAGGTCCCGCTCCCGCTCCAGGTCCAAGTCATACTCCCCAGGCAGGAGACGTCGGTCGCGGTCCAGGAGCCCCACTCCGCCGTAAGATTTCTGTCTTAACTGTCCAGTGCCCTGCTGGTAGCGCTGGAACCTCTGAGGCTTTGCTGTGAATGTTGAAATGTCATTTAGAAGACATGCTCCTGGTGGTCCCTGCTGGCACAGGGCCTCAGGGACACGCAGGCATTAACGCAGTGACAGTGGCACCTCCTTATCTCACATGGTGGTGGCTGGGCTCTGTTTCTAACCATTTTAGGGGCTTGGTGTGACCCTTGCTGCACAGTGTGAAGCGGGGCAATCACGTTAGACAGTTCCCGTTATCAGGCTTGTGAAGAGGATGAAGAATAATAGAGACACAAGTGTGTGTGTGTCCATCCTGCACTGTGACTGTCCTCATATGCCACACCCTGTAATATTCTAAGTTTTCATTCCAATAAATATACCTGCTCATTTTTAAAAGATGTAACCTGTCTTAATTTTAGTTCCTCAGCTGGTCTAGGTTCTAATTCAGCACCTCCTATACCTGACTCCAGGCTTGGGGAAGAGAACAAAGGACATCAGATGCTGGTGAAAATGGGTAAGGTCCGGGGAAGAACAACTTGTTCTGGGATTTTGAGGTTGGGGATGATGGCGTCAGAGGAAGTCCCAGCTCACCACCCTGTCTTTGAAAGAGGGTGAGCCTGCTGGGCATTCTTTACCAGCTGTGTGCTTATAAACAGCATTTATGCATGTTACTCACCTCCCCAAATGCATTCCTACTTAACTTTGTGTCAGGATAAAGGCACCAGATTGCAGTTTTTGAGGTCGTAACCACTCACCCCTCTTTCTTCCTCAGGCTGGAGTGGATCTGGTGGCCTCGGCGTGAAAGAGCAAGGGATCCAGGACCCCATCAAGGGGGGGGACGTGCGGGATAAGTGGGACCAGTACAAGGGTGTGGGTGTGGCCCTGGACGACCCCTACGAGAACTACCGCAGGAACAAGAGCTACTCGTTCATCGCCCGCATGAAGGCCAGGGACGAGTGCAAGTAGGTGTGGTGAGGAGCTAGGCCCTCCGCCCGCAGCTTGGCAAGTGGGACCTTCCTGGCTTATTGGATGTGGAAGATGGTAGGGACCTCGGTTCTCACAGCCTCCATTTTTGGGGAGCTACAGAAGAGGACAGCCATAGCATACCTAGTGACCAGTGCCATGCTCCACTGCGGGAGGCACAGGCCCCACCGGCAAACCAGCTTTCACATAGAAGAAAGATCCACATGAGGACACCCTGCACTCACTCCCTGGACAGTGAAGCGAGAAACATGAGCCTCACCCCCTGGACAAGAATCCTTGACACCTGTAGGAATGGATTTTTCGTCTCTTCCCAGTCAGATGCGAGTCTCCGCTTAAATCAGCAAGCATGTGTGGAGGAGGCCTTGGGCGCGCACACCAGGTGCCGGACTAGGGTGCAGCGGGCCAGCTCTACAACCTGCACCTCCCACTTACGTCGTGACAAAGCTCAGGCCAGGCGCTAGTACTGCTCACTCTTTAACAAAGGAAAAACAAAACCTTGATTTGCAACATTAAACAGGGTTTTCATTTTTACTCCAAATGGTTTAGTTTTTAAAACATGTTGATCAAAGATGATCCCCAGTGCGATAATTTGAAATGATTCCTCCAAGACATACTGGCCCTTAGTTATTTTAGTTAAGTTGAATTTTTTTTTTAAACGTTAGCCATTTGCTGTTATTTCCAGAAAGAAAAGGACCTAAGGAGATGGATCTGAGACATCTTCAGGTCACAGAATGGTCCCCGGGGGGATCTGTGCCCTTAATGTCTACTTGTGTTTTTCACTTAAAAGAACCCCGACACCAGCACTTGCGTGCAATAGTCCATTCAGACCCAGTGTGGGGAGGAGCCACAGGCCGTGCCTCCTGCTCTGTCACTTCCTTTTCCCACCCACCCCCCTGCAACCACAAGGAGGTGAGGCCTGGAGGGAGCCACGGGGGCCACACTGGGATCAGCTGCACTTAGTATCTTCAGGCAGCGGGGTGTGGTGCCGTTTATTTGTACAGAAACATTTTCAAAAAATTCTTTTCGATAAGATGCAAAATCCTCCAACTTTTCAACCTGATGTGATAAAATATTTGATTTTGTTCTAGGTTTCCTGTAGCTGTGAATTGTTTAAATGTGTCTGATTCAGGATATAAAGCATAAACACGTGCTGTTAACAATTTCTTGTGGGTTTTACTGTTTTGCCTTCAAATAAAGACTTTTTCATAAAGACCTTTTTCTCGGTGTGTGGAGCTCAGAAGTGTGCTCAGGCTCAGACGGGAGGAGGGGTGTCTGAGTGTGGACTGAGTTGTAGGCTCAGGTCAAAAGCTCTGCCTGGTGTCTCACACCAAGGTCCCCGGGATGGACCCCTGGCCCTGTGTCCTCGTTAGTAAATGGGACTCTCATCCCCATCGACCTCAGCTCATTGGGAGGCCAGTGCCGGGACAGGTGGAGCCGTTCCCCGGGGCTCCAGACAGGCTGGCAGCCTCTGTGGCCATGAGTGGTAACGTCACCCGGGTTCCATTTCCACTGGTCTATGGTCTGTCCTTGGGTGCTGGGAGGGGAAAGCACTCAGGTGCGTCCTAGGTGCCACCTGCCCCCTCCCACATTAAATAGCCCCTGGACACTAATGTGTTACGGCTGGAATACTAGACCAGCTTGTTGGAACCACAAGCCAAGCCTTACCTGGTGGTGCTCACAGCTCCTCCTTCACCTCCCTCAGAGCATCCTCCATGGTCAGTGGGGCGGGTCTGTGGTGCCTGATGTACTGTGGAGCAGAGGACAGACAGGGACATGTCACCACCACGCCTCAGCCTACCGGGGCTTCGGGTGCTGAAGACAGTGCCCGTCCCCAGCAGTTCCTGGTCACGCTGACAAAAAATGACAGATGCCATGTGATAACGCTGTGGGAACCAAGGAGAGATGAGCCCTGGCTGACTGAGTCTGAAAGGACGGGTGACTGCTGTCAGGAAGGAAGGAGGGCTGGGTGCCCTTCTCAGGACACGGGCCCAGAGCGGGCAGCGAGGAGCCATGGAAGGCTATGGACAGCAACGTGGTCAGATCACCACCTACGTCCAGTCAACTGATGGACGTCCAACCGAGGAACAAAAGGGATCCCACAGGGTGCAACCAGCAAAGTCCAGAATGTGGGAGACTGTCAGACAGATAACCTGTTTTTTCTCTAACAAATAAAAGACATGGGGCGGGGAGGTTCTTAAAGTGGGTCCCCAGTGGGCCACCGTGCCGCCAACCACCTGGGTAGTCACAGACTTTGGGTGCTACACTGCTCAAGGCTGAGAACCACTTTTCCAGATTAGGAGGCTAAATAGAAGGCATCCTGATGCATGGACTGTGTCTGGATCCTGATGAAAAAAATAGGAACGGCCGGGCCAGCATGGCTCAGTGGTTGAGCATCAACCTATGAACCAGGTCATGGTTCGATTTGGGTCAGGGCACAGCCCGGGTTGTGGGCTCGATCCCCAGTGTGGGGTGTGCGGGAGGCAACCGAGCAGTGATTCTCATCATTAATGTTTCTGACTCTGTCTCCCTCTCTCTTCCTCTCTGAAATCAATAAAGATATTTAAAAAAAACAAAAATAGGAACATGTTCAACTTTTATGAGATAAGTGGAAATCTGAACCCTGGATTTCAAATATAAAGTTAATTGGGTGTTGGTATGATAATGGTACTGTGACTATTTTTTAAAAGTCCTTATTTTTTAGAAATACATACTGAAATATTGGTAGATAAAATTAGTTTTAAAATCATACAGAACAGATCATATAATATTCCATTCCTATAAAAAAGTATACATGTAATATATAATATACCTAGTACATTGTAATGTATTTTATATATTGTGTATTATAACGTGACATATATTATACATCAAATAGTTCATATTTTACATAAGAAAAATATACAGAATAGATATATCAAGCTTGTACTAGTTATCTCTGAAATTACAGAGGACTATATAAGTTACATCTCTCTCTAACTGTTTTTATAAAATAACGGACTTTGTGTGGTCAGACAAAAATTAAATGTTTGGAGGGAAAAAGAGGTGAGTGTGTCATCCCTTGAGCTTCAGCCCGTGAGACTGAGAAGAGCCATCACGCTGGGTGGTTCAGGAGAAGAGTCTGGAGGGACAGCACCCCTCACCAAGGAGGCCACCGTTGGTCAGAGGTCACTCAGAGGGGGGCAGCTTTGGTGCATGCCAGGCTGGCCGTCAGCGCCTCGGCCCCACACCGGCTCTTGTCATGGACAAGGAGAGAGCAGGTTCCTTCCCATAGGACAGAAGGTGGCTGGGCCCAAGGACCCCTGCTGCCCTGGGCTGAGTGCTGTCCCCCTGGTCGGAGTCCCGCCTTGCCCTCCCTCTCCCATGGGGGGCAGCTGTGTCACCTCTTTGGTTTCCTCCAGGGTGTGGTAGTGGAATGCGTCTTGGTCCAGGGACTGCAGGAGGGACCCGTGCAGGTGCCGGCTGGTCTCCATGAACTGCTGCGTCAGGCTCAGCTGCTGCTTAAGCATGTCATTGAGGGCGAACACGGCCGGGCTGTAAGCTGTCAGGGCTGCCCCCAGCACCGAGTTACTGAGCGGCCCCTGGGCCCGTCCCCCCATCCTCACCCCAGTCCCCTCATCCTGTCAGCGTCAGCTGCTTTGGGCCCAGGTGTTCTGCAGGCCCCACTCCTTCTGCTATGTCTCCATACTTTCCAGAAGCAATGCCACCTTGGGAAGTAGTGAAGGCCTCGCCTTTTGTCTGTCTCTAATAAATGAACTGCCTTCTCCTGATGTGTGTGAACCTCAGAGCTGCATGTCAAGAATGCTCACCTCTTGGGCAGATTCAGAAGTCTTCACCTCCACATCCAACACACAGAAAGGTTATTAAACTGACACTCAAAATGTGCAGTTGCACAATATAAATCTATTTACACTACCCACTATCCACTTAAATATGGGAAAGGGGGTAAATTTGACTTATGCATTTTTAAACATGTAATTAAAACAAAATTTTTAATAAACAATTAGAATTAAAACTGCAAGTGTTAAAAATGATCATTATTCAAATATATAGTAACGCTAGAGACCCAGTGCATGGATTCGTGCACTGGCGGGGGGCGTGGCCTTCGGGGATCGGCCCGCTGTAGGAGCGCTGCTCATCCATCCCTGTCAGCCAAGCATTGAGCATCTGCCCCCTGGTGGTCAGTGCGTGTCATAGTGACTGGTCAACCGGTTGTTCTGGTTGTTCCACCATTCGGTTGCTGGGCTTTTATATATAGATGGAAAAATCTTCAAGGTTAATATTAAGTTTTTAAAAATCTCTTTTTAAACATTTCTTTTGTAACAATTATTATATTTTAATGTCTTCATATTTTTAAAATGTTAAGAAAACTAAAATGGGGGGGGAAATAACAAGTACTAGTGTAACCTTGCTGGTGTCACGTGAGCTATCAGTGGCCCCATGGGCTCCCTAAGAAAAAGGCTTTTGGAGGACTGTTGCGTGCCTTCCTCCCACCCCAGGCTGGATTGGGTTTCCCTAGGCTCCATGACTCCCCCAGACTCGGCAAGGAGGCCAGTCACAGTACTGGCTGAGTGTCTTCAGAGGAAAAACAAATAATGGATTAAAAGGCTCAAAGGGGAACATACAAAATAAAAATAGCCTGGTGAATGGAGAGGCTTAGAGGTGTGTTACTTATAACCTTCCTCTTTTGTCTGACATTCATATCCTTTGGCGAGACAGATGGAGGGTTCTTGATCACTCAGGCTATCGCAGCGGTTCTCAACCTGTGGGTCGCGACCCCTTTGGGGGTCGAATGACCCTTTCACAGGGGTCGCCTAAGACCATCGGAAAACACATATATAATTACATAGTGTTTCTGTGATTCATCACTACGCTTTAATTATGTTCAATTTGTAACAATGAAATTGGGGGTCACCACAACATGAGGAACTGTATTAAAGGGTCGCGGCATTAGGAAGGTTGAGAACCACTGGTCTGTCGTCTGGGATTCTAGGAACTGTAGCAGCTGCCTATGGCTATGACAATCCCCACCAACGGATTCCTCACACCCAGCACTAAAGGGGGTGCCGCACTTCCAACGGTGGGGGTGAATTTGCAAATGAAATGCATCCACTTCACCACAAGGACCCCCTGAGCTGGGCTGTTACCTTCTATTGCATCTGCGCCGACGACATGACTGGCGATGGGTGTAGGGTCCACATAGGCACCTCCCAGGGCTGGCCCGATGGTCGCCATACCGGCCTCTGTCCCGAGGAAAAAGGGGGAGGGGTAAGTGGCCGGATTTGGAGCAATGGCTGCAGTAAGGCTAAGGCCCCCAATCTAAATGAACCAGTCCAGGAGAATTATACCCCCTTGCTCAGTCCAGGAACCAGCTCGGTCTACGCTGTGGATGTTGTCTAGACAAGGGAGCAAGACAATGCTTAAAGGAAAGGGAACTTTTGCCCTGGCCAGCGTTGCTCATTGGTTAGAGTGTTGGTGCACATACTGAAGGGTCTGAGGTTCAATTCCTGGTCAAGGGCATGTACCAGGGTTGTGGGTTTGATCCCTGGCCCCGGTCAGGAGGCAACCAATCTATGTTTCTTTTGCTCCCTCCCTCCATCCCTCTCCCTCTCTTCTAAAATCAATGGGAAAATATCCTTGGGCGAGGATTAACCAAAAAAAAAGGAAAGGGAACTTTCTTTCCAGAAGGGCCAAGGCTGACACTGGGGACAAGAGAAATGTCTGGAAAGTCAGACTGGGCGTGATGAGAAGGGATCCCTGCACCACAGGAGAGAATCCGCCCAAACTCACCAACTTGACACCACCAGCTAGTGCCGCCCTGGGAGACCTGCACCGACCCCAGGAGCTGCTTGAGGACGCACTGTCCCAGGAGGCAGTTTCTGTCGCAATGCTGCTCCCCCAGGCTCCCCCTGGGCACCACTGACATTTGGGCCACATCACTCTGTGGTGGGGGTGTCCTGGGCACTGCGGGGCGTTAGCAGCCTTCCTGTCCTCCACCCAGCCTCACAGCCCCAAACGGCTCCAGACCTTGCCAATGTCCCCCGTGGCCAGAATCACTCCAGTTGAGAACTACCGCCTCGGTCAGTGATTCTGGAAACTCATAATGTTTGAGTGCTCGGAAGAGAAGGAAACACCCAGGGCAGCTGCCCCTCATCTGTGTAAGAGGAAAGCAGGGCACCGAGCACCCCCAGCTAGTTAACCACGATAGCAGACTC